ATAATGCTTGGAAATAATTTAATAATATGTCGCATAAATATGCTTTTCTTTTAAAAATCCTAATTGAAAGTTAATTAAAATTAGTTAATTAGTATTAAATGTACTGCAAAATAATTCATGATTTTTGTGTATATACTGACAAGGTGACAAAGTGAACTTCAGGTTTTTTCCCTGATAGTAAATCTGGAGCCGATAAGAATCTGTTAAGACCCATTTTTAGGTATATAAGTTGCTTTCTATGGCACATTTTCTAAAACTTATTGGAATTCTGGGTAAAAAAGCTTACATTCCATAAAGGTTATATCCTTATTTGGATTAAAGCAGTAAATATTCTACAGTGGGCAATGCATTTTTTCATATTTAGTTCGTAAATAGTTCTAAGGTAGGTATTTGGTGCTGAGGAAATATTGCAGGAGAAGATGAATGATTTTAAATAGCCTTTTGAATTGGAAAGTTGAATGATCTTTGGAGTTTTCGTCTTAGAAAAAGGTAATATTTAACAGCATTAATTAAATTACAGTTCTCGAACATGTATAGAAAGTTCCTTTAATGCAAACTTATATGTACAATTATAGGAAAATCGAACACTTATTTGGGTGTTATTTTATATTCTAAAGAGGTTTTTCCTCATTAGATGGGCATTAGTAAGGAATATTTAAATGATGTAATGGATATTTATGAATAAATTTCTGTATTCGCGATGGATGAACGTTAAAATATTCGAAAATATAGCGGAGATTTTGGTAAAATATCTCTTACTGTTTCTTTCTTTGGTTCGTTCTGTAAATATAAGTATATTGGTAATGATATATGTTGTGTAAAGGTATGGTAGAGTTTCACAAGATTTCGTTCATAAAAGAATAAACTGGTAAATAAATTAATGAAAACTGACACTCACGAAAGAAAATCCTAGTATAAGAAATTTAAAAGTGTGCAATTGTCTAGGGAAATTTAGTTGGAAATGAACTAGGTTCGAAGAAATGTGTTGGGATTATGCACTAGATATACAATTATATTGATTAAACATAATTTCAATGGATGAAAGATAACCAATGGGTAAAATCAATGGTCATTCACATCTGATTCGATACTGTTAATGTTCATCTTAGAAATTTCTTTAGTATATGTAACATAAATTATCGATAATTTCACATGAAAGTTGTCCATGAAGGCAGAAATATCCGTACTTAGTGCAGTAAAAAGGTAATAAATTTAAAATTTGCATAGTCGGGGCATTTAAAGTGGTTTAAGATGTAGTCAATTAGCAAAAAATATTGAATTAAAAGGTATGAAACGTTCAAAATAATAAGAAAGATTTCTGTATGAGTGCATAAAACAGTGAATATGGTTCTAAAATTATGCATGAAAGTAGTGAATTCATTCTAAAAATGCGGAATATATCAAGTTAGCTTAATGAGAATCGAGATTCAAAACCGAACATTGGTAACACTGAATAGCTTAAAAGTATGCATTCAGATAAAAATGATGTAAAAGCTTTAAGGAAATATCGGAATATGCAGGGAATGTTAAAGTTTGAAAATGCGAATGAAGTTAATAATGAGGTAAAATAGTACAGTCATGGTAAGAGTGCTACAGAATGATAAATTGTAGAATTAGCAAATTAAAATAGTACTATAAAGATTAAGTAAGTGCTATTCAACGCTTTAAATATGAATAACAGTTAAAGGTTGTAGAATAAAATGCTTAATTGAAAACTATCTCTATGTTTAAGACATTTAAACATGTAAATTTAGCTGAAATAGTAAAATCTAAAGCGTGATTACAGTCGAAAATTATAAAAAAGGGAGTTAAAATTTAGAGTATGTTGAAAACTAGAAAGAAAAAAAGTTTCGGAAAAGTAGAAAAATTACATCTAAAATTAATTAAAGTTCATGTATATGGTAGGAAAACGTAATAAACAAGTTCAAAATTAGAGTACTTTTACAATTACGAAGGTTTGAAATGTATGAAACATGTTGAAAATAGCATCTAAAATTCAATACAGCTCATATAAGGTCAAAAAAAAAAGGAATTAAGCTAAAATTAAGAGCCTGTTTGAAATTACGAAGTTTAAAACATATGAAATGAGTTACAAACGTATGAAAATTAGTTAAGAACTAAATGAAAGTCATGAACATAGTGTGAAAATATAGCAAATTAGTTAACATTTGGAGTATGTTGGAAATAAAAAACGTCAAAAAGTGGAAAAGAAGTTAAAATTTACATCTAAAATTAATTAAAGTTCATGTACATAGTAGGAAAATGAAATAAACAAGTTCAAAATTAGAGTATTTTAAAAATTACGAAGGTTAAAATGTAGGAAACAAGTTAAAAATACAATCTAAAGCTACATAAAATTCATGCATACGGTCAAAAAATAGAATTAAGGTAAAATTAAGAACATGTTTGAAATTACGAAGGTTAGAACGTATGGAATGAGTTTAAAAAGTATAAAAATTAGTTAAAAACTAAATGAAAGTCATGAACATAGTGTGAAAATATAGCAAATTAGTTAGCATTTGGAGTATGTTGGAAACTAAAAACGTTAAAAAGTAGAAAAGAAGTTAAAATTTACATCTAAAATTAAATAAAAGTCAGGTATAGGATCTGAAAATATAGGAAACGTGTTAAAATTAAGCCTATATTGAAAATTGTGGAGGTTAAATTGTATGAAAGAAATCAAGTAAAAGGCATGTATATAGTGTAAAAATATAATAAATTAGTTAAAAATCAGAGTATATTAAATATTATGACGGCTAAAATGTATAAAATAAGCTAAATTTTACATCTAAAATTAAGTAATATAATAAATAGAAACGCAGATCTGAATAATTAAGCTCGTAAAATGTAATAAATGAGTTGGAAGTACTGGGTTAAAAAGCATGAAAAAATTCTGTGTAAAATGCAATAAATAATAAAAATGAGTCATGTAGTTAATATTACGGAAAGTAAATCTGGTATTATGAACAGAAGATTTAAGAGATAAAGTAAAATTCTGACTATATAGGAAATTATAAGGCTTAAAATGTACGGAAATATAAAAAAATTACATCTAAAATTAATACTTTCTGAATCAATCATTAAATTCAAAAATAAGCGCCCTTAAGGAATTAAGCATTGTATACGTAGTAAAATAGTTGGAATACGAAGAAAAAATATAAAGGCTAAACATTGATTAACAAAAATTTCCGAAAATCAAGAGAAGCTAATCTCTTACCAAAGTGTGACGTCCTGTTATCAGTTAAATGAAGAATCTTGAAACACTCCTTCTTATCTGCTATGTCTCCGCGTGCGGCCTTGCACCGCGCACCGCCTCCCCAATCCACCTGCGAGCTCATCCGCAATCCGCCTCCTGGCGGTGAACCCGTATTTTACTACTGCTGGCATACCTACAAGAAGTTAGAGTTTCTTATTTCCAAAGATATACGTGAATTTGTATATTGGTGCCTTTTGAAATTTGGCGTATTTCTTATAAGCGATAATAAGCTTTAGCCACTTCGTTAAAATTATATGAAAGTAATAATGATGCACCTTTTTTTTTCGCTCGTGCACGATGAGAAAAGGGAAAGAAAAATAGGTTGCTATAAATTAAGAATTTCGCCAAGTGAATTCTTCGCGCAAATCAAAAAAGTGCGCCAAGATAAATTTTTAAATTTCTCTGTAAATTTCTCACCAAATTTTACAAAATTTAATATTAAAGCATAATTTGAGTCGTAGAATCGAAATATGGAAAACAAATCGTATGTCATTTCAGAAAAAGTTCGTTTTGTGTCAGAATACCTATGTTAGAACAAAGGTAAATCTAATGTATATCTTAAGTAGCGCTTTCGAGACATATAAAACGCAAATTAAATTTCGTCAACCTGTTTGGTTGAACAGAAGACACAGAACTGTCCCATGCTTTTTTTGTGCATGGGGATAAGTATTGAACCATGTTAAATTTTTTTGTGCATGAATATAAGTATTGAACCATGTTAAATTTTTTGTGCATGAATATAAGTATTGAAACATGTTAAATTTGTTCGTTACCTGGTTGAATGCCCGAATAACATAAAAGCGCTTTTAGTCCATTTCACATAATACATACTTCAAAGAAATCACAATTTACCATGTTCTTTCGCGAGACCTCTTACATCAGCTGAGATATGATTCCTCGAATTTGAAAATATCATAAAAAATATGATGACTTCATGAAAACTTTTCCTGAAAAAGGAAAAAAAAAAAGCAATTATGGTGCGGATGGCATTTTTTGTACTGCGCGTTTTTATATCATAACAGGGAACAATATCACAGTTTTAATTATATTATATGAGACGTTTATAATCCGTTAAAATAGCTTTTTAAAGAGAAACATGTTCGTACTAAAGAGTAGTAATAGACGGATGGTTATGTACTCTATTGTTGTTTTTTAGGACAATTTTTATGGTCTAATTGTTTTTGCTTTTGAAATATGTTAAAGAACTTGCCTTCATGTCGTATTTGTCCACAAACTTGCATATGTTGGAAAACTGCAATATTGTTGCTGTAAAGACAATAGCAGGAGTAAGTGTGAAAAGAACTTGATTATCATCTTGTCATTATTCTTATAAATAGAAAAAAAGAACGATGTGAAATATTTGTAAATAAACCTTCGGCTTATTACCTTCCAAGTCATTTAAATTTAACTTCTCTATATTTAGAAATTAAAAATAAAGCCATTTGAAAGCAATTTTATCATTTTTAAAATCCTGTATTATTTACCGAACCCACTGTTCAGCACTCAGTATTTCAGTTTTAAAAATGTGGATTTTTTTTATCAGAGTTTCATTAGCCAGAAATTATTACATAAAGTGATAAGAAAGTATAGTTATTTAACCAAGAAATTACGTCTTTTATTAATGGTTTATTACCGTATGCTCAACTCTAGCTTTTGACCATAAAACAGTAATTCATATTTTAGCAAAATGTTAAGAGTGTGAAAATTTAAGTTATGAAGTTTATTATCTGACATTTTCTTTCAGGTGCACAATTCAAGGAATTCAAGGATTTCCGGCAGACTGTCGTCTTGTTAGACGCAGAGGGCATTTCCCAGATTGCTGTCCCATAGTGAGATGCAGGACGACTCGTCTTCACATAATCTGAATGAAAGGCTTAATGTAACTTTCCTATCAATTTTATTTTGTTCTTTGAGCAGAATCATATGATAAGTGGAAAATCACGTATTGAATTTAATACGCTAATAAGAAGCATATTGTATAGCATATATCTGAATAAATATTATATCTATTAAAATTAATCCACCTCTGTTTATTCATTGAAGTGTGACTTTTGCAGTACACAGATTTCACAGTCATCTGCCTCCATTATCATGTGGATGGAAGATTCACATGTGGAGGGAAGAATAACGATAATTGCTTAGGATTAAATTCAATTTTGCTTGATCTAACATTGCATACTTCTGAATAAATATTACTGCGGTCTTAAACTGTCAGTACCAGACTACTAAATAAATGCCACAGTGTAAAATAATAAAGGATCTATTTTGCTATCAGCCCGAAGTGCTGAAATAAAATAGCTAACACAATTTATTTCTATTTCTGCAGGTTTGACAGATATCAATGAATTAAATAATTTATAAATTTTATCTTTGCCACGGGGATCCGCTGTTTGTGCTACTGATGAAATTAACTAACCAAACAAAAGTTTCAAGTATGGTTTAACATCGAACCGCAGAAACTCACATCACGAACAATCGCGGACACTCAAGTCTGCATTAAATAATTTTTAAAGGAGTTTTGAGGAAATCTTGTAACGCCTATCTGGAGCATAATTTATCCAGCTAGTTCAACTTACAAGTCTGACTAGGCGTTACACAGTTACAAAGATTCTGCAATTGAGTCATCATTACTAGAAAAATTAAACGCTTAAAGCAAGCAGACACAGATATATTTTAGTTTTAACTTTATTCCGCCTCACCGTTTGCTGCTGTAAGGGTTAAATTAAAAAAAATACAGCATAATATTACCAGCCACCTGGATCTGACAGAGTACAAAAGCTTTTCTCAGAATTATTTTTCTAATTAATATATCTAATTTATTATAATCAGAGGTTAAAAGATTCACCTAACACTCTAACAGTGACTTTAAGTTGTGACTTACCGATAAGGTCGAAATGGCTTAGGTTTCGGCCTGGATGAATAGGTTGGTTGCATAATTGGATTTGTGGTTTTCCCATGTGTAAACCGCATACGAGCCGCTTTCTGTCAGGAAGTCCTCCACGAAGGCATCAATCCTCTTAGACATATAATACTCATGGCTTTCCCATTTTCAAATAACGTATTCTAATCTGTAACGTACCAAACCAAATCTATCTTAGATTAAAAGTTTCGCCTTAGATTAAAAGTCTGTGCGAAACTTTTAATCTAAGATAAGATAAGATAAGCTGCTCCTCTTCAAGAGACATGTTCCACGGCAAGTTCTGTTGGCTTGAACACCAAACATCTCAGTTATTTGCTATTCTTCTCAGTTATCAGTTATATAAAAATCTCAGTTATCTGCTAAGTCTATAGTACAGCAAAAAATAACATCGAGATAACTTCAAATGCGTTTGGTCTATGAGACCTTAGGACATATGGAGAGTAAGATTTAGTAGAAGGGTTTGCCACTCAAATTTACATGGAATTAATGAGCCTCGTTATGAAAGGAGGCAAAAGAAATGTGTAAATTAAATAAAACTGTTTAGTGAAACTCAATGAAAATGCCACAACCACCTATGCTGCATAATTAAAAATTAGAGAGTTTGTGATATATCATTTTAGAATTATCTGTTGCTTAACTCCTGTAACGTCAGAACACCCGGGTTGGGTGAAAGAAAAGACAGGTTGTCTTTTAAAATACTTATTTAAAAAACTTAATAAGAAATTTTTGAATAAATATTAAAATAATTGAATTATTTCAGCCATAATTCATACAAAGGCCGCTGACGCGGCTACGACGCTGGATGCGTCTACTTTCTCTCCTTTACAGCATCAAAAGCTTTTTACACAAAGCTTTCTCCTCGTTTTGTTAAAACCTGGAAAGAAAATAATTAGTCCTATATGTCCGGAAACCACACCGGGAAGGAGGGTTCGCTGCACCTTTCTTCCTGGAAGTCCGAGGGGTCCATATGTCACACTCCGATTAACAAAGCCTGGTAACAAGTGACTTAGAAGATCACAACTTGGAAGTTAACTATGAACACGTGGAGAAGTTAATAAAAGATTATAAATATGAATTCAGCAAGAAAAGACTGAAACATTATTAGGAGCAAGAAAACTAACATTACTAGGAGCAGCAGCGAAAGGCGGTTGTGAAGAAAGTGTCTTCAGAAGAAGAACGAAGGAAAGATGATGCTAGTTTTGATCCGCGAAAATTTTGCAAAAGAGCATAAAACAAAAAGTATTCACTTAATCATATCACCTTGACACCACAAAGCAGTGGCAAGCTACTACATATACATTCTCAATCGCAATGCCATACCTCATTTTGGAAATACTTTAAGATGTATACAAAACAAATTACTATTAAATTAGGTAACTCAAGCCCACTGGCAGTAGGATACAAAGAAAAATGAAAGAAGATGCCCTATGAAACAGTTATCTGATATTTTTATGAAGAGGGACTACAGATCCAAATAATAAATCCTCTTCCCATCTTTTTCCTCGTCAGTTTCTATTTATGTCTTTCACTCACATTTGTATAGGTATAATAAAATTAAGTTTCCATCTATTTTATTTGTTTAATATTGTATTGTTACGAATTTTGTACATAGATGATTTTGGTGTAACTGTATGTGAAATAGTTGTATTTCTTTTGTATAATGTAACATGAAAATCTAAGAGAGACAAGCCATGCCGGAAAAGTAAGAATACAGGGGTGAGATAAGTTATTTTACATTGAGTAAATAGGTATCTCGGTGTCAAGTCCATTTAACATTGAGTAAATAGGTAGCTCGGTAATTTGGCGAGATGTCACCCACATGACAACGGTTTTGGTGACTAATTTGTAACGACAAATTTAGTGAAAAATAGACAAAAGCAGCCATATTTGGCGACATTTCGGACTTGTTCTTTTATCACGATAATACGTATTGCAGTTGAATAAATGTAATTGATCCCTCATTTAGCTGTAACCTTAATTCGGCGCTCATATTGCCTTCCAGTAATTTCGAGAAGCAGAAAGTACTAGAAATATCTCGGCGGCAGGATGAAACTATATAAGCCCGAAGAGAGCATCTGCTCTCTGTTGTTGTTGTGCGTTGCCAGTTCAGCGTAAGATCAGAATACTAAGTTATCTCCGGGTTAGTTTTCTATTTAGATGCACTTTTCATTGCGTTGTGTTTAAAGTAAACTTTTTTGTAAACACAATTATGCTTATTTAATAAATATTTGAGATTTTCTATGTTTGTTCCCTTTAATAGTTTTATACTAAATTAAATTATACTGGGTTATTTTTAAACACAATGCAATGGCTAATTTTTCATTTTATATTACACACTGTTATTGCATTTATTGGTTATATATATGTCATAATAAAAGCAAAGGAAATAACGGAGCAGTGTAGATGCGTAGTTATCCTATATTGAAGAGGAAGTAATCTGATTGCGTCGTAAGCTAATGTGTTGACTTCGTAAATAAAACTTGGCAGTAGAAGCGATTTTAATTCCATTTTTATTTCCAATTGATATTTGTGGCCACAATCACTTGGCACTCTAGTCGTGCCTTTCCACAGAAGATTTACATTTTTGATATTGTTGGGATAGAAAGCAAGCCAGCGAAATTACATCTTAGCAGAGTAGAGGGCAAAAGCTGAAGTGCCTAGTTATGAAGGATGGAGGCACGCGAAGAGAAAAAGTTTTGGTTTACAATTCGGTGATTGGTCGAGAGGGATCTGCATTATGGGTTAAGTAAGATCGCATGATTAATTTGAATGACGCAATGCAGAGAAGTTATTACGATTTTAGAATAAAGAGGAAGAATTAATGTTTTTAGTTATTCTGATTCATATAATTTATCTTACATATATATATATTTACATATGTATATATATATATTTACATATGTATATATATATTTACATATGTATACATATTCATAGACCCATATTTTCCTTGTCCAAGAGATATTGTATTAAGTGAGTTGTTACACCTAAATTTTGATTACTGGGTAAATTATTACATTAATTGACATATACAATAGTACCAGTAATTTTTTTTATATAACATTCTTTCCTCAACAAAAGTAATACAGATCATATAACATACTACAGGCTTCAACTAACCAGTGGCCGAATGGATACGACGACTGAAGCCTTGTAGCTCAGATACGACCAGGCGAGCTACATATAAATTTTCGTGTTTTCTTCCTCTTATGCAGAGCAAATATTAACCAATATCCCTTAGAAAGTTCTTCCCGAAGGCATCCCTTCCTTTATGAAAAAAGCACCACTTGTGGGCTTTGAGCAAATGATTAAAATCCAGTAGGCTTAAAGTTGTAGAAAAATGTCCTCTAGTAGCTTTTTATAAGGTTTACGTGGATAAAAATTAAATCAAAGTCCTTCTGACCCTATTAAGCTGACAAGCGAGTTATCGCTTTGTCTGAATTTATTACGAACAGAAAGGATGTAGAAAGCTTTTTATTAAATCTTTAAAAGAATTAAAAGCACAACTTCTGCGTATAAATGAACTCAGCTACTTGAGGGTATTTAAAGCAACAAAATTGAAGTTTCAAGTAAGTATCACCTACTTGTAAGGATCTTAAGTTTTACTAACGTTTATTTTATTTTAAATCTTTACTATCACTTCTTATTTTCCACTTCCGGCCAGAATTATAAGCGTTAATGTATTTATGCAAAGTTTGTCTGGCGAACGCCAAGTACTTAAGTTGGGGCTTTTTGCCAAGCGAGAGAGAGGAAGCAGTTAGTCGAAGCAGGCCGCTTACCTTAGAAGTTTTACTCAGTTGCTGTTTGCCTTCCAGGCCAGAGGTTTAATCCTCTTGATAACTTTAAACGTATTGTAATGTTCACAGTTCTCTGTACTACATACGGCTTCCTGTTAATATAAGGCCAATCTTCCACGTTTATTATTTTAAAGTTAAATTAGAGTTTAGTTTTATTATATTTTTACGTTTAGACCACAAGTAGTGGGTCTTTGTATTCCGAAGTACGGAAGTTATTGTAAATAGAGAAAAAATAAAGGGTTTTGTATACCCTTCTTGTGTATCCTCTCTACTTCTCACAGTTATTGAACATAGCTTTAGTA